CGATTGTTGACAACACATTCATCACTGAAGTACTGGTTTTTCCTCCGTCTGACAAGGTTTGCTGCCGCCGTTCGAGCACGTTTGTACTGGTGGAATAATGCTATGTTAGCCCGGTCTCGCAGCCATCTTCGGTGCAGCCTGTTTTTTGCCATCGTTAGCTGGTAAGTGTCTCTGTTAAGCCATGGCCTTCTTCTGGAACGCTTCTTAACTGGGGTCATCGGGGCATGATGGTCCAGTACACGCATTATGCTAGCGTGCCAAGTGGACCACATATCGTCGACGCTCGCATGTGGAGGAAAAATGTGAAGGTCTGCTGCAAGCAGGTCAGCGCGGAGAGCTGCTATATCCACTCTGTGCAGCTGCCTAGTGAGGAGCGAACTCGCTGGCTGGCTTACTTCAGTAGCACAGCTGAGTGAAGCACTCACAGCAAAGTGATCGCTGATGTCACATGGTACGATGTTCCAGGATGTTAAGCTGGCATGGTTGACCAAGACTAGATCTAGTATGGTTCCACGCACACATTGGGGCAGAACACGAGTTGGTGCTGTCACAACATTCTGCAGTCCATAGCTTCCACACGTGTCATGCATGTGGCGCAATTGTGGGCCAGGAGAAACTGGGTCAGCATTTACATTGAAGTCGCCCATCATAGTGACCGATCCGGTGTTGTTGGTGGCTGCCTGTAAGACAGTCTCTAGTCTGGGCCAGAACGCAACTGTTTCACTTGGCGGCCGGTACACACACCCTAAGAGGTGAGGCGCCCGGGCACCTTTAAGCTCGATCCAGGTGCACTCTACATCATCCGCCGTCAAATCCGGGCGAGGCTTCACGGGGAGGGTCGACCTGAAGTAGATACATGTTCCACCTCCTCTTCCACCGGCACGGTCCTGACGGGCAATACTGAAGTTTGGGATCCGGATTTCTCCATCAGACACTGTGCCATCAAGCCATGTTTCAGCAACACCGACTATGTCCCAGCACTGGTCCGCGATCAGCTGCTCCAGGGCGTCGACTTTGTGCCGAAGGCTACAAATGTTGATAAAGCCAAAGCGTACCCAGGAATTTGCTGGGGCGCCTTGATGGGACCGTGGTGTAAATGGTATGGCATTAGGGTTGAGATGTCTAGTGAAAAGACCCGGAATAGATGGGGCGGCATTAGGATTAGGTTCGAGTCCTGTTGGAGAATTAGGGTCACCCAGTGCTGCCATCATTCTTTATCACTGGTCGGATCTGTGGTGGAATGTTTACCATTGCTGCTGCCAAGATTGTCTTGTGATGCTGCATTCTGATGTTGGTCACGGTCTTTAAACTGCCATGGTCTGGCGTACAGAGGTCACCGGCCAGAAGTTTGGGGATACAACAAGCAAGAGGGCACTTGCTTCAACCATTAGTCGTGCTGACACCTTTCCATTTTCTGCTCTGTGCATCACTCCCTTAGTAGTGACTTCCATAGATTAGATATTTAGTACACTACAGAGTACAGTCATGACTTTTACTACAGTGCTGGCATCCAGGGAGTCGTAAAATACCGTGGTATTTTACGACTCCCTGCTGGCAACTGAAATCCGACCGCCCTAGCGGGGCGCTAGCCGCCTTACCGATTCGTACGCGAGACGCTAGGGGGGTCGGATTTCAGTTGCCAGCACTGTACTCCCTGCTTCAGTAGAGAGGTTAAGATGCACGTTATTTCCGACGTGACGCGAAAGTTCAGCTCGCGTTAATAGAGAGGTTAAAGGGGAAGTATACCCTAAAATCAAATTTTCACCAGTTGTAGTCTTCGGGGTGCTGAGTCGAATGGTCTTGGTCCGAGGAAGCTGAGACGCTCCCTTCCTACTTGAATCCCAATCGAACTCGCGCACTTCCACCGAAACTGGGTGACTGCGCCCTACTAGATGGGGATTTGTATGCAAAATGTCACTAAAAGCGCCATTTCGTTCTTATAAAAGCACGGATGACCGCGATTGGCCCATATGTTGTAGTCTTTTGGACGCTGAGTCGACTGGTTTTGGTCCGAAAAGGCTGCGATGTAGCGTTCCTCCTTTATTCCCAATCGAACATGGTTGAACAAGCGGTCACGTGCTCCTGCGTACACCAGTCACCTGGTCACCGTGCCTGCAGGGTACAACTTACTAGCCTGTTTGACCTTTTTTGGGTGCACTCCTGTCACTCGAGTTGAACTCGAGTTGAACCTTGGTGTGAAATTTGTCGCCTGCTGGCGTGGTGACCAGGTGATTTGGGCACCCAGGAGCACGTGACCGCTTGTTCAACCATGTTCGATTGGGAATAAAGGAGGAACGCTGCATCGCAGCCTTTTCGGACCAAAACCAGTCGACTCAGCGTCCAAAAGACTACAACATATGGGCCAATCGCGGTCATCCGTGCTTTTATAAGAACGAAATGGCGCTTTTAGTGACATTTTGCATACAAATCCCCATCTAGTAGGGCGCAGTCACCCAGTTTCGGTGGAAATGCGCGAGTTCGATTGGGATTCAAGTAGGAAGGGAGCGTCGCAGCTTCCTCGGACCAAGACCATTCGACTCAGCACCCAGAAGACTACAACTGGTGAAAATAATTTTAGGGTATACTTCCCCTTTAAGATGCACGTTATTTCTGACGTGACCCGAAAGTTCAGCTCGCGTTATTTGCTCACACGTCGAAAAATCAACGCGAGTGACCTGCTGCTCACGTCGAAATTTGGAGTTTTACGCCAAATTTGACGTGAAATTGCGCGTCACGTCGGAAATAACGTGCATCTTAACCTCTCTATTTGCTCGCACGTCGAAAAATCAACGCGAGCGACCTGCTGCTCACGTCGAAATTTGGAGTTTTACGCCAAATTTGACGTGAAATTGCGCGTCACGTCGGAAATAACGTGCATCTTGACCTCTGTAGTGTTCCGCTCACACTTCAGTGTTCCGCTCACACTGCACTGGTAGATCTACATGGTTCATGCTGCTGATCACACGAAAAGTGTGGTCTATACAGCCTAGGTGTCCGCGAGGATTATTTTTCATAATCCCCGCGGCGCTGCGCGCCTTGGGGATTTGAAAAAGAATCCCCTCGGAACCGTGCAGTCATACCACATCAGCTCAGGACAGTACACCAGTCCATGGTACACATGGTAGATCTACACTGCTACAGGAGGTCTTCTGCCGTTCTGGTCGTAGTATATAATTATGTACAGGTCTAGGTCATGGAGGAAGTCAATATGACGATTTGTTTTAGATTTGCTCGCTGGATCACGATGAGCGTGTTGCCATGATCT